ATAAAGCATCCCTCAAATCACATATATTTCAAGAAGTAAGTGCATGATTAATTAAGGACAGAAGCTATCCCCTATTTTTAATACACTTCGAATCTGTCAGAGAGTAAAGGAAAACTAGTGAAATTATATAATATTTTTGATATGCCAAAGAAATCTGTATAAAAGATATCCATCCTTTATTTTCAGGTTTTATTTTTTTCAAGATAAGATTGGGGGGAGAATTTTTGAATATTATTTTTGGAATTAAACGCAATAAGGAACTTTTCAGTATCAGAAATGCTTTTGTTCCATTTGAAGGTGATGTTCCTTGTTTGCTTTAAAAATATTGGCCTTTAGTCTTTTCATGTGAAGAACATAGGATTTTTGTTTTTTTTTAAGGAAAATTTGCTCTTATAGCTATTTCCAGCCTTACCATCAAACAAGCTTTGTTCTTCAAGGATAATTCACAGTAAATAATGCAGTACCTCTGAAGGTCCCTGTGGAATATCAGAATTAATTTAAAACAAAATCCAGACATGTTGATAAGTTCCAAATTACATTTGGAAACTATCTTTTTTTATTATATTTTTCTTCTCTTTACATTTGTAAAGCTTTTTATTCATTGGGTATTTATTTAATTCCTGTTATGGGCAAAACACTGTGCTAAGCACTAAGGAAAATTTTATAAAGGATTATTAATTTATTCAATATTTATCAAATACCTGTAGGGTATAGAGCACTGTGACAGGCACTAGAGTAAATAATTCCTGGCCTCTAGGAACTAGCATTCTTTTGTATTCGATGGAGAGTGGATATACACATATGATATATGTAGCAGTGTTGAGAATTAAATGCTTGAGTAGTTTAAGTTCAGAGATGCTCAAGGTCACTGTGAGTGAGAATGATAGTAAAAGGTGTCATGGAATATGTGGACCATGAGATGCGCTCTGAAGTTTGTTAAAATTTGAATAACATTAGGAGAGTGGAAAGGGAAAGACCTTGGGGGTGCTAAGATGTAGTTAAATTGTGAAAAGTGCTGGTGAGGTTCCTATCTGGATACTAAAGGAGCAGATAGTTCTCTCCTATTTCTTCACGTGGAGGATCATGGGAGAAGGTGAAACCTTTACAAGAGAAGGTGTGGGGGTCTTGTGACTTGAGTGGAGAACCTTGGTTTAGTAAAGACAAAAAAGTTAAGCAATAGGATTGGATTGCCATAATCGGAAGTAGCATTGAACTGGGCATGAATGGCTAGTAGTGATGACAATTGGAACTAGGGTGGTAGCAGTAGAGATGGATTGGGGTGTATGTTGTGCTTGCTGATAGTTTTGATTTGGGAATGCAGAGGATAGGGTAAAAGAAGGAGGAATTAAGACTGACTACAAAATTTTGACTTGGACAGTTGTGTAGATGTTGGTGTCATCTACTAATGTAAAGAGGACCATTATGAACACTTTTAGGAGAGAAATCAACAGTACCGGACTGGATACTTTAGCTTGAGATGGCTGAGAGGTATCTAACTGGAGGTGCCTACTGGGCAATCAGATTTGTGATTCTGGATCTCAGAGGAGATGCCAAACATGCAGAAATATAATTGTTAAGAAATGAACAAAACTCAGATTAAGTGTTAATGTTACTGTTTGTTTGTTTGTTTGGTTAGCCTACTGCTTGTCAATAAGAACTTAAATTTTTTTAAAAAATTTAATTTAATATTTTTAAATCTTTAATTCAAATATCCCACTTTGTTAATCTTAGGTATCTAATTGATATTGGCCTGGTTGATTTTTTTTAATAACCTGTGGTATCTTGATTGTAATTTTTTAATAACTTGGTATCTTGATTATAATTACTTAAATCAAAAATAACTTGAGACAACAGATGGTTATTAAACCATTAAACAGTCTTTAGAGATTGTTTATTTTTACTTCCAGACGCCATGTATATTCTTTTAGCAATTTTTATTCTTTTAGCAATCGTAAATGACATCTCTTTCTTACAATACAAATTATACAAGTGTCATGAAAACATGCATAGTGGTAGTAATTATTATTAATCAGAACTTTTAAATATATAAACACTACAAGTGACCAAAATTCGCGTGCCATGAAATGACATAAAGATCTTCAAAAATTGCTTTATTACACTGCCACTACACTATGAAACCTAAAGTGAAAACTGGCTGTGTAAGTCAGGAAACTCCACTGTGTTTCTGTTTTTCTCCATATAAACAGAAATGGTGTATTTTTGGTAATATATTTTAAATTTTTATTTTTTCTATCCACATTTTGATTAACCTCTCATGCTCATCCCAGCACTGCCTGTTTCTGGCTGCCTCTCTAAGATGTTTTTAGCTTTAACCTGATAGTTGGTGGAAGTGGACTAGCTGTACACGTTAGAGTTTTCTATCTATCATGCACTAAAATTAGCTAAATCTTTTTCACAATTGCTTTAGTTTACTTTTAGCAATCATACAACAATCCATTGGATTTTGACCAATGACTTTGAATATTACATTTAAATATTTAAAATATCATTGGCAAATATATCTTTTCACCATTTTTTTTATTGAAAAAGTAAGTTTTGTTGAAAACGCATTTCTGCCTGCGACTTTGAAAATGTGAATTTATAAATAGGCTGCCACTAGGAGCCTGATTAGGTTCATTTTTATTTCTGCTACCCAGCTACAACCATTGTGCCTCTTTTATCTTAAATTTTCTATAATTTTCCTTTTTTCCTCTAATTGAACTGATGGAATTGATTTTGGAGAGAATATGAAGTTAACCTCTATAATTTCCATTAGCTCCCCTCATTCCGTCCTCACTACCCACAACTCTGCTGTTACCTTTGGCAATGTTTATATATGTTTCTGATTCTCCCATCCATTTACTAACGCATAGAGACTGTTCCAGGATTTTATGACTTCTCATAGCTTTTTGGATAAAGTTTAAATTCCTTAGCTTAATCATCTATTATCTACTCACTTCTCAAATTTTCATCACTATTCTTTTTTCTTCAGACATATAGCATTATTTGTACTTCCTTAGAACACATTATCCTGTTTTCTGGCTCTTACTTTTTCACGTGCTAGTCTTCCTGCTTTCTCTAGCTACAGTTCAACGGTCAATTTTCCCTTTTCTTAAAGGTTCTCTCTCTTTAAAGGGTGTCTCACATCTGCTTCCAAACAGTTCATCTGGCTTATGCTTCTCAGAGTTCCTTGCTTTCAGCTGCTCCCAGTGGGATACCACTTCCTTTACAAGTGTCTTCATATGGAGCTCTGGGACACAGTCCCAGTGATAGAATACTGCTATGACAGGTTGGCCATCAGTGATGTGAATAGGGGAAAGTCACATTTTTTTTTATTTTCTCACTTCTTTATTTCTCACAGATATGGCTTGATCAGACTTTGGAGAAGAGTTAGAGTAAATGAAAGGAATTCTAGTATAGAAACATTTAAAATCATGTCTAGAATACTTTTTCCCTGCCCAAGGGAAAGCATCAAAGAAGTTGAATCCTTCAGACTGGCTAGGCTTTGACACCAAATCTTGCATAGTAGTGAGGAGTCTGTATGATTTTTTTCCTAGTCTGATCACCTTTGAGGTCTTCCTGCCAATGTAAGTTTTAGAAATGCCTTTGAATCTTTTAGTTGTTTAGTAGGTAACTCTTGAATCAGACACACACTAACTATAAACCTCTCCCAAAGATCACCATTAGATTTTAGAGTGTTCTGACCAATAATACAAAGAGAAATATTTTCCTTAATGCCCCCAAAAGAATTCTCTCACAATGAAGACACTTTATCATATATATACAGAGCATGATTTTTCTGACTCTGACCCACTTATTCAAGTTGAACCCCCCTGGCCTGCTTTTAAAAAGAAAGAGGTCCATGGCAAAGTCATGGCAGCTTACTTGGCAAAGTAAAGATCCAAATGAAGCTGTTAAATCACCATTGATTATAGGGATTAGATTAAGTTATTATAGGGCAGCTATGGCTAGCCTCCTTTTTAAAAATATCCCTTCTATTATGTACTTTTATCCTATTTGTCCTTTGTTATACCCTCCAAAAGCCTGTTAACATCATTTTGTGTAAAGCCCCTTTTGTGTACCTCTGGCAATCTGGCATAACTCTATCATAGCATTATACCACAATAATTGATTTACTTGTCTGTTTTCCTAGCACATGCAATTTAGTGAGTAATCAATAAATGTTTATTGAATGATAAATGAACCAGTAAAGGAAATTGGGATCTGTTATCTTCTAAAATTTACTCTACCTCAGCAATTCCTTAATGATTAGGCATAAGATTGCATAGAGAGCTAGCTTATTTTCTAATGATTAAAATATGGTATCTGCAGTTAAAATTTCTTAGTGTTTCAAATTAAGTTTTAGAATTTAAATACCTTGATTAGGAAAAAAGAATCAGATTGCTGCTGAGGTCCAGCTTACAATTAGTATTTCCTCTCACCACTGGAGCTGTACTTTGTACAACCTTCTATCTTGGGAAGGTAAGAATATGTTCTGATATCAATCCCTTCTCATCTAGTAAATGGCAGACAGTCAAGTGCTATTTGTTTCATCGTTGATTTAACTCTTTGCTTATTTTGGCAAAAGTAGTCTTTTTATATGTAGGAAAGCCTTTATTGGTTGTATGATTTTTGTTTAAAAGCAGGAAATACAAGTTAGTGAAGAATAGAAGAAGAGAAATTATGAGAAATGGAAGATGAGAAATTTTCTTTTTCTAAATATGTGTGTTTATTAATAAGTGTACAGGAAATTCATGAAATACTTTACAATTTATGTGTTCTTTATATAAAACCTACGTGTAAGAAGATTTAAAAATCATTGTGCACAATCAGATCTAAGCTATTTGGCCCATTGTTGCTCTATCATATGTATTTTTTGTATATTTTAGAACATGGATCTTTTGAAGAAATAGTTGTCAGCAAAAGTTTATTTTTATAAAGAGGAATTAATAAAATGCTTATTTGCTTTATGATCAAATATATTATTTGACTTCTTATAGAAATTTCAAGAAATTGCTGAAAAAAATATGGAAAAATTGAACCGTATTGAGAAGTCACACGAACAGTTGGTTCATGAAAATTCACGCATCAAAAATGTGTTATCTCAGACTCAAAAGGAACAAACATCCTTGCTGGCAGCCTGTGCATTGATGGCTGGTGCCTTATATCCTCTCTATAGCCGATCATGTGCCTTGTCTACACAGAGAGATTTTCTCCAAGAGCAGGTCAACACCTTTGAGTTGTTCAAAATGGAAGTTAGAACTCTAGCCCAGGCTTTGTCAACTGTAGAGGAAAAGAAGCAAGAGGAGGCCAAGATGAAGAAAAAACCATTCAAAGGATTGATATGCATATTCCGGAAAGGTGTTATTGCAATTTTGGCAGCAAACAGACTCAAGGTTTTGGGCCAGTCATGTGCCTCTCTTTTTACCTGGATGGAAAGTTTCAAAGAAGGTATAGGCATGTTAGTGTGTACAGGAGAGCCCAAAGACAAGCATAAATTTCCAAGTAAGATAATTTCTACTTTTTCAAATCTAGGTTGCAGGTACATGCCATACAACAGTGAATATGTTTCACCATTGTGCAAAAACATCAAAAGATAATTTAATATGTCAAGTCATGGAACATAGTCCTGTATGAATGTAGATATGTATATTAAGTATAAGTTAGGTTTTGATTTTTTAATGAACTTTAAAATATAAAGTAGCAAATATATATAATTTCAATTTAGTCTAGCTTTATTATATTTGAATACTCTTTTCACAGTAAAGAATTTATACAACAATGTTTTTAGTTAACTCAATCCAAAGACTCTTCCCTATTGAAAATTAATTAGCAGTATAATTTATTTGCACTTTCTATGAATCAGTATAAAATTACCAAAATTAAAAAGCTATTGAAGAACTCAGTGAAAACGAGAGAAATATAACTTTCACAGCTAACATTTTGTTTGAACACTTGATTGTTCTGAGGAAACATTGATTTTAATTTTTAACTTTTGCAAAGCAAGCTAAATAGTATAAGTAGAAGAAAATTTTCTTCCCTTTTTTTGATGTCAGTTAATACTCAAATATATAAAGTCAGTCAAATCTAACATTTCTTGTAGACTTTTCTGCACCAGGCAAAGTTCTGTCTACAAGTTTTAATCTAGTTCTTAAATAGCTAAACATAGCTATGAATTTTAAACATGGATTTTAGTAAATTTTTGTAGCATTGCATAATGGATTTTTTCTATTTTGCAGAACATCAAAAGGAGCAATTGCGTTGTTTGCAAGCACTCAGTTGGCTCACCAGTTCTGACCTTCTTGCTGCAATAATCACTTCAATGGCTGAGTTACAGGAAGTAATTTCTAAAACAGGTATGATCCCCTCTTTTATGTTCTTGCAAAATACATTTAAAATCCAAGGTCTAGAAATGCTTTATGGTATAAATTCTAATAAACCTTCTAGGAAGAAAATACATTCTGATCTTTCTTTTTTTCAGGTACAGAGAGATTGTTAAATCTATATTTAATGATATAGGGAATTATTGTAAATTTTGATGGGTAATTTTATCTTTATTTATGGCATTAAATGACATTTCTTGGTAATGTATCCATCAAAATTTTTTCTTTTGTCATCTGTTTTTCTTATGGAAAGCTCATCATTAGCTTTTTTATTAAGTAAAACTGATAATGTTCTTTCAAATGTGTTAATCTTTCTTCATTTCTGTTTCTGGTTGAAAATTTTAGAAGTTTGAGTAATAACTAAACCAGTAGACAATTTTTCTCTCTCATTTGGTGATGTGATTTTATTTTTATGATTAATTTAAAATGAAATTAATTTGAATAGTCTGTTCCCTTCCACCAGATGTGGAACCACCTATAATTTGTGATTTCTAAAGGTCTAAAATTCACATTCTTTTTTCAAGACTGAGATCACATGATATGTTTGTGTCAAAAGTTCAATGAAAACTAATTTCTTTATGCTAGAAGAATAACATACTAGTGGTTAAGCTATGCCATTGGATTAATTATTGTCATTTCAGACACATTAATACTATGAATAGTATAATGGACTTGTTAATACTTGCCTGCTTAATGAGATGCTGTAAGCATTAATGAAATAATAATTTGGATTGTAATCTAATTCGTCAAACAACTGTGCTATGTAAATATAGATCATTTATTGTGATTTCAAATATCTAAACCCAGGCTCTTTTAGAAGGAAACTTATGATTCAAAGATTATTTTTAGGTTGTGGTCATTGATGTTGGTAAGCAATATGTTTGTTTAATGCATTGGCAAAACCTCAATATATTCGGTTTTGAGTTTGAAATAAAAGTCGAATTAAATGTATTTTATATGTTGATGTTATAACTTCAAAGAAAAACTAACATGTTTAAAAGAACTTAATAAAAGTTTTTCGATTTATTTTAATAAACAGATTTATGTTAGCTGCATTCTTTGTAGATATGTGGGCACTTAAAAGTACATTGGTTTCTTAAGCTATAGTCTTGTTTCGATATTATTTTTTATTATTACTTTATTTAATGCATTTTTCCTTATTACTGTGCTATTCTAAAATTGCCGAAGTGCTCTAGTGGTGGCATCTTAGTATAGGATTAAGCAGGGATTCTGCCTGGCTTTGAAGACTGGTTCTGACACTAGCTGTGTGAAATGGCAAGTTATTTAAACTTTCTGTGCTTGTTTCTTTATTTGTTAAATGGGAATATTAGTATTATTTATAGAGTTGTTTAGGGGACTAAAGGGCTTAATTTGCAAAGTATTTAGAATAGTCTCTGTTTACTAGTTTGGTTACTTTTGTTAGTTCAAATATTAGTTATTACTAATAAGTACAGATCAGTAGTTACAAAACAGTCACAGGGATTTAGAGTACAGCATAGTGTATATTGTTAATATTATTGCAATGGTTGTGCCAGGTGGATGCTAGAGTAATTGAGGGGAATCACTTCATGGATTGTATACATGTCTAACTTTTTAAAATTTAAAATAAAATTTTCAAAAAAAAAAAAAGGAAAAATTTATTGCATTAACTGAATAATAAAGAACATTTATAAAAATTTGGATCAAATGAAAATATAATAGTTTATCTTAAAATTTCAAGACAATTTACACATCTAATATACAGCTCTAACTTTTTAAAACATGCTTTTGGTATAAGTTAGTATATAATAGTCAAGAGAAATTTCTTCTTCTGAATATAGTGAAACTGCTCTGTTGGGGGTATCACAGGTTTGCTTTCTTTGTAACTAATAGAAGACTCTACTTAAAACAGCATAATTATATAGATTTTTTTTTTCCTCCCAAATAATAGAAAGTGTGGAGTAGGTAGAAATCCAGACCGTGTCTTCTGCTCCACCATCCTTAGCATCTTCATTTTATGCCTCCTAGTTTTAAGCTGGCTACTCTACTCTCAGGCATCAGGATTGTGTTTGGGCAGGAAGGGAAGGACATAATGTGAAGGCTTTCATACAGTGTTAAATAGAGTTATCATATGGGCCAATAATATACTCCTAGATATATATCCAAGGGAAATGAAAACATATATCCATACAAAAACTTGTTCGTGAATGTTCATCGCAGCATTATGCATAATGGCCAAAAAGTGGAAACAAACACAAATGTCCATCAACTGATTAATGGATAAATATTCAAATGATGTAATATTGGGCCATAAAAAGGAATGAAGTACTGATAAGTGCTCCAACAGGGATGAACCTTGGCAAAATCATGCTAAGCTAAAAAAGCTAGTCACAAAAGATCACATATCATATGATTCCATTTATAGGCATACCTCATTTTTTTGCATTTCACTTTATTGTATTTTGCATATATTGTCTTTTTTTTTAAAACAAATTGAGAATTCGTGGCAAATCTGTATCAAGAAGATCTGCTGGCACCATTTTCCAATAGCATTTGCTCATTTCGTGTCTCTGTGTCACATTTTGGTAATTCTCTTAATATTCTATACTTTTTCATTATTATTTTATTTGTTATGGTGATTTGTGATTAGTGATTTTTGATGTTGCTATTGTAATTGTTCTGAAGTACCACAAACGGCACCCATGTAAGATGGTGAACTTTATAAATGTTGTATGTGTTCTGACTGCTCCACTGACCAGCTCTTCCCTATTTCTCTCCCTTTCCTTGAGCCTTCCTGTTTTGTGAGAAACAACAATATTGAAATTAGGCCAATTAATAACCCTATAATGGCCTCTAAGTGCTAAAATGAAAGAGTCACACATCTCTCACTTTAATTCAAAAGCTAGAAATGATTAAGCTTAGTGAGGAATCCATGTCAAAAGCCAAGATAGTCTGAAAGGTAGGCCTTTTTCATGAAACAGCCAAATTGCGAATGCAAAAAATAGTTCCTGAAGGAAATTGAAAGTGCTACTCCAGCGAACATATAAATGATAAGAAAGTGAAACAGCCTTATTGCTGTTGTGGAGAAAGTTTTAGTGGTCTGGATAGAAGGTCAAACCAACCACAACATTGCCTTTAGCCAGAGCAAGGCCCTATCTCTTCAGTTTTTTGAAGGATGAGAGAGGTGAGGTAGCTGCAGAAGAAAAGTTTGAAGTTAACAGAGGTTGATTCATGAGGTTTAAATAAAGAAGCCATCTCTATAACATAAAAGTGCAAGGTGAATCAGCAAGTGCTGATGTAAAAGCTGCAGCAAGTTATCCAGAAGATACAACTAAGATAATTAATGAAGGTGGCTACACCAAAAAGGAGCTTTTCAGTATAGACAAAATAGCCTTTCATATTGGAAGATGCCATCTAGGACTTTCATAGCTGGAGAGAAGTCAAGGCCTAGCTTCAAAGCTTCAAAGGGCATTAGACCCTCTCTTGCTAGGGTCTAATGCAGCTGGTGACTTTAAGTTGAAGCCAATGTTCATTTACCATTTCAAAAATCCTAGCGTGCTTAAGAATTATGCTATAAGTGACCATTGTGCTGTATACCTGAAACTAATTTAAAAAAAGAAATATGCTAAACCTACTCTGCCTATATTCTGTAGATGGAACAGCAAAGCCTAGATGATAACACATCTTTTTAAAACATGGTTTAATGAATATTTTAATCCCACTGTTGAGACCTACTACTCAGAAAAAAAGATTCCTTTCAAAATATTATTGCTCATTGACAAGATACCTGATCACTCAAGAGCTCCGATAGAAATGTACACAAGATTAATGTTTTAATCCAGAAAACTTGAGAAAAAAAATTCGAGAATGACAATACTTGAGAAAAAAACTTGAGAAAAAAAATTAGAGAATGACAATAACAAAATGAAAAGTTTCTCATCATACAGGAATAGCTACTGTTAAAATTTGTATATGTTCTTCTAATTTGTTTTATCCCTTAATCTCTTTCTATTTCTCTGTCCGCCTGCCCACCCATCCTCCCTCCCATCCTGCTACCCACCAATCCATCTATCGACTAAGAGCCCAACAAAATGTTACATTTTGTTTTATATTTTCATTTAAAAATCATTTAAAAATAACCTTAAACATATAGAAAAGTGTTAAGTGTACGACAAAGAACTCTTTTTGCTGAATGACGTGAGAGCAAGTTGCTGATATAGTGCCCTGTTACTTTCTCATATTTTAGTGTGCGTTTCAGAGACATTCTTGTATATAACTGAAGGAAGTGCAGTGATCACCATCAGGAAAACAACATTGGTACAGTCTACCATTCAGACCCTATTCTGTATTCTGTAGGTGTCCTAACCCTGTCTTTTAGAGCACAAACATCTGGTTTAGAATTATGTGTTGCATTTAGTCATGTTTCTTTTTTCTTCCTTGGTGTGGAAGAGTTCCTCAGTTTTTCTTTGACAATCATGACCTAAAAGAATTCAGGTCAATTATTGATAGAATATCCCTTAGTTTTGATTTGTTTGAAGTTTCTTCATGATTAGATTAAGTTTATGCATTTTTGTCAAGAATATTACAGAAGTGATGCTGTGCTTTGCTTTTGATATACTGTCATAGCTTTAGTTTAAACAAAGGCATTCTTTTTGAGGATTTTCTTTATTTATATTAATATTTTTCTAGAGAATGATTTTTATTGAACATTCCATAATTTATTTGACCAATTCACAATAGAGTGTTTTCATCATACCACTAGTATCAGGAATATCAGTTCAGCATTGATTTATTGTCTCTTGAATAATCTAATATTATCAGCAGCATCTTAATTCTTTCAACCAAGTGGGAAATTAAAACAGCAAAATCTAAGAAAGTCTTTTAAGGAAATAATCTGAAAATTCTGAAATGAAAGAAGATATTTCTAGAACTATGTTTTTCTTCCCTCCCTCCCTACTCTCTCCCTCTCTTCCTTGCTTCCTTTTCTTTTTGAA